GGGTAGGCCAAGCCATCTTCGCAAGTAGCTGCTGATCTTTCTCTCCATGGCCTCAAGAGTTGTCATGGGTACTGCGTACACTAACAGAGGCCACAGGATCTGGGGCAGGACGGAATGTTGGTAAATCAAAGCCTTAAATCTCCCTGGCAGTTGTCAACACGCCTCAGCCAGTCCTGGAGCTCCTTGCTGGTTCTCTGGATGTATGTGGAATCTTTGAGGCTGCAATCAAAGTACTTCCCAAGGCTCTTAACTAGCTGCTCTGTGATGGAAGGGATGGTGGCTTCAGCCAGAGAGAAACGGAACCTGTCTGTTACCTTTCCCCTCTTGAGCACTAGAGACCTGGATTTTTCTGGCTTAAAGCCCATCCTTGCCCATGTGATGAGCTTCTCTAGGCCTTGGAGAATCCATCTATTGCCCGGGACAGATGTGGTGGTGACAGTTATGTCATCCATAAAAGCTAAAAGCTCTTATAGGGGGCTAGCATACTCCAGATTTTGTCAAGGGTCCCCTACACTCCACCTCTGCTGACTTGACGATCATGTTCATGGCGAGTGCAAACAAAATGACTGAGATTGTGCAGCCTGTTATTATGCATTTCTTAAGTCGGTGCCAGTCTGGTGTGCTTGACCCAGCAGTGACTTGCCTGAAACTGTTGTAGTAATCCAGGATAAGGTCTGTAACTTTACTGGGAACATGATGTCGCAGGCGGGCAAGTTGAACAAGCTTGTGAGGTATGGAGCCGTACGCATTGGCAAGGTCCAGCCAGAGTACGGTCAAATCTCCTTTTCCTTCACGAGCCTCCCTGATGACCTGGGTCACCACACCAGTGTGTTTCAGACAGCCAGGCAATCCAGGAATCCCGCCCTTCATATCCCCCCAAAATCACTTTTGTGATTTGAGAATCAAAGTACTTTTTCTGTTCTCTGGTGTATAGGAGTGAAAAACCTGCTGAGTGTCATTTGCAGGGAAAAATCCTCTTATGGCCCCATCCCCGCTGTACGGTATCCTCCTGCAATGATGGCGACCGACCTCCTGGGTCACACCAGGAACATTTCTTCCCTATCTCCTTTAGCCAACTGTTTTTTTTATGACAATTATAGATTGATTATAATTATGCTCGATTATCTGACTCCAATACATATTATCTGCTGATTAATGAATAGTGATAATTATTCATAGGGATATGTGTGCCTATTGATAAAAAACAAAACAAAACATATATGACATATGTAACATCAATGATATAGTAAAACCTTTTGATAACTTTAAAATGACCTTCTGACCTTAAACACAAACATCCACTTTGATCATTTCCACTTAACACATGACCTTCAGTACTAATCTCCACATTACCACATCAACCTAACACATTCAATTAACATTCAATCCACCTCCATAAACCTTCAATAACCCTAACCCATTCAACACTGAAATATCACATTTTCATGATTCCAGTATACAGTGTAACAAAACATTGGCATTGTCAGTTTGTATAAATGAATATTGTGTAACTATATGGAAATTGAGTGTATACGAGTACAATAGCATTGTCCATCAGCAGTCTTTGAAATCATCAACTTTGCCATCTTCCCAACCATTCATTCCATATTTCAGTGTATAAAAAACAGATATCTCATTGCGTAGTCCAGATGAACTCTCTCTCGTAAGTCAACTTGTGTCCATCTTGCCATCGTCCTTCCTACTCCAGGAAAGAAAAGTAAAAGTTAAAAACAATTAGTTATGAAACTCCAACTGAGTCATTTATAGTTTTTTTTGTCTTCCACTGCCCGCCATGCATCGTAGTTGATGCCACTTCCTTCGTAACACTTTGATGTACACCAGGTCCCCTGGTTTCACCGGCCGTTCCACCTTCTGCTCCAGGTTCTCTGGACTTTTTCCTGCACATAGACAGTTCTATAGATCATAGTGTTAGGTTTATTCTAACATATGTGACGACAAAGTAACAACACAAAAGACGTCTGGATCTTTTACTTGCAAGGGGAGAGTGCAGCTTGCTCTGCTGGCAGCTTCCTCATCAACTCCGAGTTGCTGCACCCTTCCTCTGCTCTTTTATTTAGTTTACAAAAGTATCAGATTACATATCATGTGATCGTGTGTGAGTATATGAATGGGTATGGAGTAAGAAGGTGGGTGTGAATGTGGGTGTGGCTGTGTCTGGTAATTTCTCCATCAGTCTTGAGC